ATTTCATAACACATACTCATATGATTTGAATAAAAAAATTCGTATTGTGATCCTTTTATTGGAAACTGAGATTCTCTTCAAACCCCTTTTGGATATACGGAACAGAAAAACTGGTTGTGAGAGACATTTTAAACTAAGTCGAATGGAACTTTTTTAGATATTTCAAACCGGAACTGCAAAATAAATATTGAAGGTAAATGGAAGATCCCGAGATTTTGTACCCAGCTTTAGCGAATGTAGGTCAAATATCAAATAAAAACCCAACTCTCATAACTTTTTTATGTACTTAATACTCAGAAGGATAGTGCCGCATTATTAATCAGCTATTAAATGATTAGACTATATTACATTTTTTTGACATCGATTTTCTAAATCTCTAGGCTGAATTTAAGGCAATAAGTTACGCAAGTACAATTATCATGAGATTTAGATATATGTGCGCGTCCATGATTTATCGGTTTTAAGAAGCTGACAGGTAATTTTCTGAAATTAAGCTTTAATATGTTCAAAGTTATTAATCAAATAGGCAAATCCTTGTTCAGTCAGATTGTTCTGATGATCAGTTTATCGGAAATTAAATAGAAGAATACCGTAAGCAAATGCACTATGTAACACGAAACAAAAAATGTTCACACATATTATGTCGTACCAATACTGGAATTAAATTGGTTTTATCGGTGTGAAATAGTTAAAATAGTATTTAGAAGAATCGATTATTCTGCAGTCACTTTACTTATTTTCCTCCTATTTTTTCTTCCAAGGAACTGCTATTAATTTCTCAGCATAAAATTTAATTTCCAGTTTCTATCAAGCTAACAGTATTCTTCAAAAATTTGCTACAATAAAAAATAGGCTTTGTGTGGCCCATTTGAATAGTTGTTTAGAGGCAATAAATGATTGATTAAGTATAAGTACCATTGCATGTTTATTAGTTTAATTATTACTTAGAAAAATATGAATGAGAACTTTTCATAACTCGAAAATATTTGCAGTTCTAATAAACGTGTCAACTATCAGTACAGATGAGTAATTTTGTTCTACAAAATTAATTTCGAAACGTGATGTTATTCCAATGTGGCAGCGCGAGTGAGACACGAACAAAAACTCTTAACGATAAATGCAGACAGTGGAAATAAATTACCTCAAAAGAAGCAAGAGAATCACCAAAAATTACTATAAAAAAATGAGTGAAAAATATTAAGGGAGGAAGTGATAATGGTACACATACTGGAAACAATTCCAATACAAAAACTAAGATGGTTTGATCAACTAGGCAACGGAATTCTCAGTAGAAGAACTCGGATAGTGAGTTGTCACGCAAAGTGAGTAGGAAAGAAGAAAATCGAAATAACAGAAATGGAATACAAAGGGATTAGAACGACGTGAAAACAGGAGAGCTTCAGATCATAATCGCCTACATGAAATAATATAACCCGCGGCTGAAAAGATCTATTTAACCTGAATGAATTATAACTAGAAAGCATTTAGAGGTTTCAGCAATTTACGAAATAGTTTTAGCTTTGTTTATTTCCTTTCCATATTTAATCAATCAGCATTAACTAACTAATCAAGACACTTCCGCCCAGTTGCTTTTAAAGAATTCAACTGTCGATTACCTACAGGTCAATCTTTTTCAACTTTAATATTTATAAAGACAAGATATTCGTCGGTACCATCCTAACAAGAATGCCCAAAATGAGTAAGCAGTGTAAAATTGGAGACGTTCAAATAGGATTAAGATTTTTTGATGGTTTATTGAAAAATAAGTTTGTTACGGTGTTTGCTATGGTCAAAGTTATCGTACTTTCTGATTTATGCGATTATTGTTTAATTAACGTCGAATTTTGTTTGGTAATTAAACAGATGACTTACGAACAACTCAGCTTGACGGATTACTGGAGTACATTCTTTAATATCAAAATCGCTACCCATCCAATTGAGTACATTCATGCCGAAATGGTAACGATTTCCGCTAAACCGCAGTTAAGCTTGTAATGGGATATTGATCAGAATATGCTTTTATTTCTTAAGAAGACATTTCTATAAACCTTTAACGTTTAAAAAATATAAAAATCTCATAAGAATGAAGGACTGTTAGTCCCTATGCGTCCAAACGTAAATACAGGACAGTAAGATTTTTGAGCTGTTCAACATTTTCCCTTATGTGAGCAAAGCAGCCTTACATAGAGGTGTAGAAACAAAATGTTATGCTGTCAAGTATGTGAGTGAAACGTGCTCGTATTAGAGAAGGTGGAAAAGTTAGACTGCAACTTTGCAAGATAGACTGAAGTTGTTCTATAATTGCTAAACGCGTGATCGGCAAGATATCAGACAAAACTTACACGTGCTTTTTACTTTGAGAAACCGTTTGATAATAGAGATAAAGAATGACAAATGCACCTGCATTCGGCATTGTTTTTCGGGAACTAAATCAATTACAAGCGATGGTGATATATGGTGTGTTGGATTTTCGATTGAATTTTAGTTTAGATACAAAGTGTAAAAGGCGCAGTATTTACCCCTGCAAGCAGAAACTGCCCAGGCGAAGCATTCCGCAGAACGCTTTAATGTCAAATGGGCACACATTGATAAACATAATAAAGGGAAGTAATTCCAATGGCAAATCTCGAAGTAGGCAAAGAAAATATAAAATATTTTCGATGATCTATTGGGTAATATGTATCGTAAAGATCGCATGATGGAGTAACAATCTACGATCCTTCAAGGCATCTAGTTCAAACTATTCTTAATTGTTTTCTGTTTTGTAAATATTGAAAATAATCATACTGCCTTTCACGGCCTCTCTCGATTATGTTGGATGTTTTTATTATTATATAGTTTACATTCATTATCCGCCTAATGACTATATGATGAAATTTAAATCAACTTTTTAAACAACTATCTACACACATATACAAGTTATTTATTTCTATAAGCACGTTTTGTATCAAACTTTAGTTATAATGTGTTAACTCTTCAACGTTCTCCAGAGCAAATAGTTCAGTGAATTTATCCTTAAGTTTCAAGAGGCCGTAGTACCCTCATATACATCGATGTAGATCCGATTAACTCTAATATTAATCCGAAAATAATTATATTGAACTCTGTACTTGTTGCAATTGAACCATATTATTTAGTAAATTCACATCATTTCGGGAATATACGGTTCTATTGATTTGGACTTGCATTCAAAATTAATCGGATTTGTATGTTTAATTGGCATCGACATAATCTTAATGAAAGCATTTCTGTCCAACAAATAAATCATAGCAAGAGCTCAGAATCAAAAAAACAAAAAAAATGTTAAAGGTATTTGTGGAAAATGTTAAGAACGAACAATTTAGGAAATTAAGAATTTAATCCGAAAAATCTTAGTTTTTTGGAAATTCTACATGAAAGGAAATAGTAGATAAGGTCAAACGTCTTTAATTTTCACACGAGCCCGACGCCGATGGGGCTTTCATTCAATCAGCAGTTTCGTTTGGTCTTAATTTCTTTCGGCGTTCAGCGTGTAAATACGTTTTCCGTTCCTTTATGCAACTTTGTGAGAAAATAGGGTTAGCATTCCTAATAAAACGGTTTCCAATATCCTGTTAGACTATTGAAACTGCTTTTTCTTCGTAGCGATCTTTACATTTTCATGGGAAGAATTTCGAGAAAATATTTTCACATATTCGTTCATGTCTTTATTACTGGACAAAGCTTTGAAATGCGAAAAAAGTATTTTTATGAACAAGGGGCAATTTACGTACAGTAATATTTATCTAATTAAGGTGTTTGGTTTAGTAGTTATTTCTCTAAACTAAAATCCAAATATGAATGCAATTGTGCTATATATGAATTAATTATTGATTGTTGATAAATATGCATTTACGTTGCAATATTATAATTTGAATAATTCATAATCATCGTTCTCAGCTAATTCGTACAATTCAGTTATTTCATATTCAAATTAGAGCAGTATGTTACACAAATGGTGCCGTTTATGATATTATGTTACAAATATTAACGTTTAGTTGGATAGAAGAAGATTTATTAATATTAATTTGGTGAGGCAGAATCTACATTTTAAATCGAAATTTTTCCTTGAGCATATACCGGATGAACCCGTTTCTAAAGCAGCACTTCCGGGAGGGATAAAGAATCGAAAGACAAAATGAGTTTGCTTTATAAACTATATCCGAGTATCGAGATGAGAATTAGTTTTTTAAGGTTGTGTCAAATTTAGTTGTATTGTCATCCTGTATATCAAAAAATAAAATAAAACGCACCTGGTTTTATTACTTATATTTCAATTTTTATATTTACTTTAACACATTTTAAAATTCGTTTTTTAACCATACCTAAAATCGTAATCAGAAAATCTGGGGTGATAATATTAAAGAAAAACCACATGCTAAATTTGAGTCTTTTGGAGGTTGGTTCACCGTTGGCTAATGTTGTTCGCGATTAAATTATAATTTATCCATTGCTTTGGCTTCTCTTGCGCATTGAAACATTTTTGAAAGACTTTTGCCAGTTTCAAATCCCTGCTGATATTAATTATCGCATATCGAGTAAAGGTTAATAAACTATTTCCTAATTAATTTATCTTTCAATGACCTTTCAACAAAACATTTTCAGTGTCTTCTTGGTGAAATTTTTGGAAATGGTTGAACTGTTATCTTCTCTTTAATATTGATGTAGGTTTCAACCCAGCATCATCAGGATAGCGCCATTTTGGAAATCCAACTACCAGACTATCTTCCATGCAGTATATAAAATTGATTTCAAGGCAAACTCATGGTGCAACTGTATCTTAGTAGCAGTAGTATTGTGGGGAAACCCGATGGGTCCGACGAGTAGGCCTTAAAGGCCCTTTTAGCAACTGGTTCTTACTTTTGTTAAGTTATGTTTCATAAGAAGAAATTGAAACTAAGAAATACATGTTCAAATATTTGAAACTATTGTGTTTCAGCTGAAGGAATAACAAAATGACTAATGAATGATTATTGTTGCAGGCACAAATGCAAGATTGGTCTACTCCATCGAAAAGAACGTCATCGAGGAAGAGACCGGGTCTCCTATCTTTGAAATCGAATCGGAAACGGGAGTGATTAAGACGGCCGTATGTTGTTTAGATCGTGAACGTACGCCCGATTATTCCATCCAGGTGGTTGCGATGGACGGTGGTGGTTTAAAAGGAACTGGGACTGCTAGTATTCGTGTTAAAGATATAAACGATATGCCTCCCGCGTTCACAAAAGATGAGTGGTTAACTGAAGTAGACGAAACTGATGGTAGCGCACTGCCGGAAATGCCTATTCTTACCGTAACTGTGCATGATGAAGACGAAACTAATAAGTTCCAATACAAGGTAGGATAATTGTTCGCTATTTTCCTAGTATATCCATTATTTCTTCCAATGTCCCAGTTTTGTGGAACTGCATACGTCAAAATGTAGCATCAAATTTTTTGTATACTCACTTAAGTTTCTACATATATGGAAACAAAAATGTTTATATTTCGGTAACATATTTTGCATGGAATTGACGAATCCAGGTAAATGGCGTTTTTTAATACCTAAAGTAAACTACCGCCATCAACCCTCTATCCTCTAGCCACCCCAAGTCTAAAATTTCAAACGGCAGCTCTTTACTTGCGATAGATCTTCTTAAAGCAACCAACTGATTCATTACAAAATTCAAAGTTATCACTTTTAATTTTTCACTATTTTTAAAGAAACACGAACACTGTGGAGAATACTTGGGACAAAACATTTGTGTACAGTTACAAGTCTTACATCTAACTCCTTTTTGGACTTGTATCCATTTTTACGTATTTTATTATTATACTGACTCAATTATCTGCAGGTACTTGAAAGCAGCGGCTACGGTGCAGACAAATTTACAATGGTACGGAACAACGACGGTACCGGCTCCTTAAAAATAGTCCAGCCCCTGGACTATGAAGACCTTCTTCAGAGCAACGGATTCCGATTCCGCATCCAGGTGAACGACAAGGGTGAAGACAACGACAACGACAAGTACCACGTGGCTTATTCATGGGTAGTTGTGAAATTACGGGATATCAATGATAATAAGCCAGTTTTTGAAAGACCCAATATCGAAGTCAGTGTGCCAGAAAACGCAGAAATTGGTAAAAGTTTAGATACTTTCAAAGCAACGGATCCCGACCAAGGTGGAAAAAGCAAGGTAAGTGCCTTGCCTTTTATAGCTAGAACAAGTGGTCTTGTCATTCCTAAACGATTGCGTGATAATAATTTTTTGACAAATAAATGAGTGGGACACAAGAATGATCTCTCTACAGTTTTGATTACACATAAAAAAGAAAAAGCCGAATGCCACTGCTGAATAAGAGATTGTGTTAAAGTAGACTCAGCGTCAAAGATATGTTCWCTCAARGAACTCTCACAGCGATGCTTGTTGTCAATGAAGTATTTTTCTAGCTRCTTAATTTTCTTCACATATTTGACCGATTTTGCTTACATTACATTATAACCGTTATTGCGATTGAAGCAGAAGGTAAACATGAAATATTTAACAYTTRKATGGAGGTGATCAAAACTTCAATTTTTTTATTTGGGCTCAAAGTATTGAATTGTCACTTCTTTTTTATTTKTATTTATATTTTCACAGAAAGAAGTTTTAGTTGGAAAGATGTAACAAAAGCAAGTRATACAAACGTACTACACTTTTCAATTTGCCATTTCCAAAAATGCTTTTAGAATAACTAATTTTTAATTAAACTCGTCCATTTTTTTCAATTATTTATGATATTGACGAGCTTTTCTAGCAATGGAGGTAATAAAAGTGGCTTGGGACTTAATACAGTAAGGGTATACTGGCCACGATCTTTTTTTGTTTTTTCACAGTTTTCAACACAGAGGAAGATCTCATGGAAATATTATATTTGCTCACCAACTACATTTTTTACATAATCCTAGTCTTCTAATGGAATACGCTTAATACATTGAGCAAGGGAAAAAAAGAATATGATCATCTTGGCTATCTTTTGGCAGTATTTAAGAACTCCATGTAATCCATCCACTCTAATGCAAGGTTGCATTAAAATTGTTTTTTTGTAACTTCTATTTGTGCAATGGACATGATAATACCGGGTGTCAATTTAAAAACTTCCTAACTTAATACCTTTGTTGCAGTGAAAAGTATGAAAAATCGGAAAGACCGTCACTTTATTTATAAGGTGGACACTTTAAATTCATACTTTTCGCCTCCTTGTTTCAACCCCTTAGGAGGGGTAGATGTCACCCTGAGAATCCTAATTGGGAAAGGGGGTCAAGTGGCACATCGTTTCAAAGGGCGTTCAATTATCTTTACATTAATTACTACTTTGTTGCTTTTTGTACAGATGTTTTCCAATAACCGGGTTTCAAAGTTACATAAACAATTAAACTTGCCTGCAACAAGATTTTGGTTTTCAAATTACTGTTTAAACAAAAATTATGTCATTGGGTTTCCTTATGCTACAAATGATTAAAATATGCGGTTACACCGTTAAAATCGTTGAATGACAGGAAGAAAATCTAGTTTAAACAATTAATTTCAGAAGATTTATTGATTATTTTACTTCGAGAAAAATAGCTTTTTATTTACGGAAGAGAAATTGCTGCAATCAACCCCACGGATCTACTTGCACATTATCTTATAAGTTGTTCAAAATGTTGTCGATTTTCCTGTAAAGAGAGTGACAGGAAGAACACCGGATTGAGGCTTCTTTTTTTGGGGACATCTTAATTCCATTGCTTATGAAACACAACCTGCAGATATTGATGATCTTAAAAGTCAAATTGCATCAGAATGCCGGTCAATTCCCGGTGAGGTTTTCCGGAATGTCAGGGAGCAGTCCGAAAACAGACTTTATTATTGCTTAGAGGAAAATTTACAACATTTTGAATGACTTATAAGATAATGCGTACGTAGATCCCATGAGTTTTATTGTTGAAATTTATCTTCCGTAAATGAAAAGTCATTTTTCTCGAAGTAAAATAATCAATAAATCGGTGTTAATGTGTACTAACGGTGTAGAAGATTCGGTATCTTCTAATCATCTGTACCACAAGGAGGACTAATGACATATTTTTTTCTACAACTTCGAACCGCGATTATTCGGAAACCTCTGGACAAAAACAACAAAGTAGTAAGTGATGTAAAGAGAATTAGACGCCCTTTAAAACAGTGTGCCACTTGACCGCCCTTCCCCTTTAAGTGTCCCCCTAACAAATTCACGGTTCTTTCCGATTTTTCATATTTTTAACTGCCAGAAAGATATTAAGGGTGGGACCTTTTCAAATTGACACCCGTTATATTTAATTTCCAATAAATATTCATAAAAAAACTCAGTTGTTGCGTAATATCATGTAATAAAAATGACAATTCATCCGCAAAAAGTGTGCTTAGTATGTCGGTGTTTTCTCATTCGCATTTATTATTTCTTCATCAAATCCCCCTGTGGACAGCAGTTTTGCATGCTTCTATCCTTCATTTTTACACGCAGTTTCTCATGGCGATGTTTGCATTTTCAGCAATTTTATATTTTTCTGTTTTCGATTCGACTGCACTGCCGTTCTTCCAATTTTCATTCCTTTAAACTTAGTAAATTTGTGGTTGCTGCCATCTCCTTCTCATACTCGAATTCCTCGAAATGAAAATTGGAATTTATTTTTCACGTCTATATGAAAAAGCGCAAGTGTAAAAAGCAAATGGTGCCCGCACGCGATTTTTTTGAATAATTGATGAAACCTTGTTGGAAATGTTTTGGGGCTTATCGTATACAATATTGGTTACATTTATTTCAGGTATCATATTCAATTGATAGAAGCTCAGACAGGAAAAGACAATTTTCGATAAATCAATCCGGTACCGTCAGTATCCAAAGATCTCTGGATCGTGAAGATACACCAAGGCATCAAGTGAAAATTTTAGCTATTGACGATGGCATTCCTCCAAAAACTGCCACAGCTACTTTAACAGTGATTGTTCAAGATATCAACGACAATGCACCCACATTCCTTAAGGATTATAGGCCTGTTATTCCTGAACATGTGGCTCCCAAAAAGGTAAAATTTCAAAACAAAAACAAATTGACATTATTGCAATTTCGCAATTAATTAGCCCAAACCTCACTGGGATCCTACCTTCTTCGATTCCTAATATAAATATTTTTAAACAGCGAATGAATTGTCGAAAATATTCAATTGCTCGTCTTTCGTTTGGTTTCTACTGGAGATTTGACCATCCGAATCCTGCCCGAATTATTTAATGGCATAATTGCATTCATTGCAGGTGGTTGAAATTCTAGCAACAGATGATGATGATCGATCGAAAAGTAACGGACCGCCATTCCAATTCCGATTGGATCCAAGTGCCAGCGATAGAGTTCGGGCCAGTTTCAGAGTTGAGCAAGATCAAAGTATGTGGCTCTCAGTGGCTCTCAAGAGTAAACAGCTGAAAATATATATTATTTCAGAGGGTGCTAACGGTGATGGCATGGCCATTGTCACGTCCTTAAAGTCTTTCGACCGAGAGCAGGAAAAGGAATACCACATTCCGATTGTAATCAAAGATCACGGTAATCCTGCTATGACAGGCACCAGCACACTTACCGTTATTATCGGCGATAATAACGATAATAAAATGCAACCTGGGTCGAAGAATATATTCGTGTACAACTATCAAGGTAGTCATTTAGGCGAAAATGCCAATTTTTTCATAACTCCGTTAATGAAAATATTCGCGATATAATTTGGCTAAATATGGGGCTTTTCAATTTAATGGAAACTTTGCAAATAATATAAATTCGTTGTGAAATCAATCACTTTCAAAACAATAAGCTATAACGTAAAACCTTGCTTTTGCAGGTCAAGCTCCGGAAACAGAAATAGGTCGAGTGTACGTCTACGATTTGGATGACTGGGACTTGCCTGATAAGAAATTCCATTGGGAGACAAGCAACGTGGCACATCCGAGGTTCAAACTCAACGAAGATACAGGGATGATATCTATGTTACAGGGCACTCGAGACGGAGTTTATTATTTGAAATTTAAGGTAGTATAAAACGTCTATAAATATTCATCGCAGTAAAACAATCGCAGCAAACATCATCGCAGTAAAATTTAAAGAGGGAGTTTCCTATTATTGTTTGTATGCATAAAAGCATACATAACTTCTCATGCTTTTTTTGCTTAATATTTTCCTGTGACACACCATACACCAGAAAAAATATCAAGCAATACTAATTTTTTTTTTAAGAAAAGCTAGTCAAAGGAAGTTTTAATAAAATTATATCTATAAAAAAATCAGATAAAAACTAAAAAGTCTAACGTCTTCAAAATTGAAAACGCCCCGAGCTGTATTTGAGTGTCTGACATGTAAGTCCATATGAAAGCTGAAAGAAATCCCATGTTACTTGGATACCGTTTTGTTCTAGACTCGAATAAACTTTAGATATCTTCTGGTGTCTTGTAGTCAATGACTACATTTCCAACTGAACAGAATATCAAATAACCGAATATATAGTTGATATTATAACATTCCATCAACCGAAAGTAAAGTGGCAAATAACAACAAATATGTTACTTCTTTTGCAGGTTTATGATCGAAAACACACTCAGAACGATGTTCCGGCAAACGTTACGGTGACCGTAAAAGAAATACCTCATGAAGCAGTTATCAATTCAGGATCAGTGCGAATTGCCGGTATAACTGACGAGCAGTTTATTCGAGTTTGGGATTTCAAATTGAAAGTAAGTTTTGTCAATTCCACCGAATGCATTAGCGACAACCCGAATTTCTTTAAAGGATCTACCGAAATCGATGGCGGAGAAATTTAAGGACAAAATAGCAGATCTTCTAAGCATCAACCGAGAAAATGTGGACGTGTTTAGTGTACAACTGCGTCGAAAGCATCCTCCAGTAACAGATGTTCGATTTTCTGCTCATGGAGGTTCCCCGTACTACAAACCTGTCAGGTTGAACGGCATGGTTCTGATGCACCGAGAAGAAATCGAGAGAGCTGTTGGCATTAATATCACTATGGTGAGTACCTTTTAACATATGACTATACTCGTATAATATAGAATATACATTTTTGCGTAAGTAATCGATGTCTAAAAATAGCATCACTTCTGAAACGTTGTCGTTTTAAATGTGAAGGCGACATTATATTTTTGTTTGCTAACCGCAAGTCCGCTTCCAGCGTGATAATAAAGATCCATGTAACATTAAAAGCACGCGTAACGGCATACAAGAAGTACGATCGTTAAAACGCCTGGAAAGTTCTTTCAATTTAACTTTGTCGGGACCTAGATGTTATGAGTTGGGCCAAAGAAAACGTCTTTCGGCCATGAAGTGTAGAACTTTTTCATCCGCGTTCATCTGCTTCCGGCTGCAAATTAATGGTCGTAACAAATGATGTCGTTATGACAAATTCTGCAGTCGTTACATTCGACGTGGCACACGTTATGAACAGATTTTTAGCAAAGTTTTTAGCGCGTCTTTTATATCGAATATTATACTATTTTTCATATGAGGATATGAGGTATTAATTTCAATTAGCTCAAAACTCGTTTTAAAAGACAAAAAAGTAATTTTCATAAATAGTTTCTCATTTACTTTGGATCAAATTAAAATCTGTAATAAATTTTGATGTGTTGCCTTCAGTATAGTAGACCTAGTATTTTGTCTCATTTAGGCAGCCAATTTGCTTCTGAGTAGGTCCCTTAAGTAAACGAAGGAATAACAATTTTTTCATCTTATTCTTGCCACATAAAGTTTTAGATTGTAAGCTTAACGAAGCGCTAATCATCAATATCTGTTCATAGAATTCTCCGAAATTAATTGTTTTGGTAAAAAAATTTCCGGTAGAATTTTCTACTGTTTTCTTATCACAGACATCACTTCAATTAAAATAATAAAATGTATTTTGATTCATTTTCCTGGCTGCGTGTAATTGTTCCCATACTATTTTCTTTCCTGGGCTCCAGGCACAGTGTGAAACAATTTTTTTTGTATATCGTTTGCTTCGTTACGTTTCGGCAAGACAACAGTGCCATCATCAAATTTTAAAATTCGTTCAAACTCATAATTGATATATAAATGAACACAACTTCTTCAAGAAGAAAAACAAATTGAAGGTTTCAAGACACCCAAGACCTAAAAGAATCTAATGTTTACCAATTATGAGTGTAAATGAATTTTAAAATCTAATGATGGCGCTGTTGTCTCGCCGACACGTAACGAAATAAACGATATACAAAAACATTTTTTGTTTCACAGTGTGACTGGAGCTCAGGAAAGAAAATAGTATGTTAACAATAAAATTTATATGAAGTGCTAGAGTGTTACACTTTGATAAAAATAAAAGTAAATGGTAATTCATTCTCATGGTGCAGTTTTATTTTTGACTTGTGGATATATCGTAGATCGCGTCAGCTCTTCGACTCCTTGGAACCTTCCATACTTCCACCTTGGAAGTTTAATTCACTTTTACATCCAATACTATTAGTGCCCCTAGTTGAAAGTGTGACCCGTCTTAATCTTGTTTTTCATGAAGGCGGTTAGAACTACTTTCATTGGATAACTTTCTGATATCTCTCATTCTATAGGGTATCTGAAGAAATGCTGCTCAAAATCCTACTATAAATTCCTGAAGGCAGAACATGACGAAAATTCTCAAACCGTATTTAAATTATCACAATTTGTATCGCCCAGACTTGGGTTTGCACATATATTTCACAAAACAACGGTTTTTTCAACTGTTTCTGAAGCATTTTTATGTATTTTAATTAATTCTGAGTGTCTCTAGTATCCACGGTATACTTAGCGTTCAGGCTCGAAAGTAATGAAAACGACTTGTGTACACAAATTCAAAATTCATGGGATATTTCACGGAACGACGAGGAACTGATGATTACTGTCCATTTAAACTTTTTCCGTTCAATTAATGCTTACTTCTAAAAGCGATATCAGAGACGACTTTGAAGCTTCGCGAACAATCCTAAATATTAGGGGATTTTTAGTTAGAATTGCATTTGCACATAGTTTATGAAGTATTGAACTGTTCAGGAAGCGCCAAACTTTCAATCTTAAATTTTGGAAATATCTCAAGAAGAGTTTCTACTATGAAATCCTTTTTTACATAAGAACTTTACTCAAACCCCAATCTGGTCAAAAGTCAGTGTTAACTGGGAGATAAAAATAAAGGCCCTTTTAAAGAAGGCCCTTTAAATGTCTTAAATGAGCATAAAAACCCTTCACGCGTTCTAATATGTAGAGCCATAAGAACCCGTATTATTATTTTGACACCGCTAAATAGATTAGTGACCCATTTGGAGAAAATAGGTTTGAATGTGGTTTAAAAACTGTAGTTCCTTCCGTTTTTATTAATTTATTAGGTGTGACTGTATATTTTACTACTGTGTAATGTAATTATTGAACATTGCAATAGTGTGTCTTGAGATTAAATCTACCAACGGTATATCTTGTAAAATGTGCAGTCAGTTCGTTTATTGTATAAATTTATGTCGACAAAAATATATCTCCAGACTTCGAACGCTGAACCGACACCAACCGAGAAAAATAAAAGTCGCTCAAACAATTTTCTTTGAAATCTCCATTTCTTATCGAAATTAAGCCAGTAATTTAAGAAAAAGATTTTATAAGTCTTTATACAATGTTGCCGGTATCCATTACTGAATATGTAAAGGGTAGTAGAGTAAATTTAAATCCTCATTCCACCCGAGATTCGTTGTTATTTTTATTTTCTCGTATAAAAGTTCCACGCATAAAAGACGCAATACAGCTCTTTAAATGCAAATCAATACCCAATTTATCAGATTTCTGCCTTCCAAAGTCGAGCGTAAATAAAAACTTCAATTTTACAAGTTTTCACAGAACCAATATATTAATTTTCTATTCCTAAAAGTTTCCTTTAATTCAAAAATTTAAAAGGTTTTCTGTGAGGGTTTCAAAGTTGTCCTATTGCAAAATTTAATATTTTCTAGAAAATCGGAAAAATTCTATTACTCTATTGCTATACAATATTTCAGTTTTATTAATTTATTTCAATGGTTTGAATGTATTGAGCAATCGAAAGTGATTTAAAAATAAACTTTAATTATGGTTAGTAAAATTATTTACCTTGAGGTGAGGTTTTTAAATGATATTGTCAAGTGCAAAGGGTTGGCGTTTTAATAATAAAGTACTGCCACTCTCGCTTCAAAATCTAAAGAGTCCTTTGATTCCCTTGTGTTTTGTTTCAAATTAAAATGCTTGCCTTATAGCGCAAAGAAAGAGTTATATTCTGCTATATGTGTACATATATTAGAAAGTACTAAACCCTAAAAGCCTGGCCATATCGTTGCATCACACGATTAAAAATGAGCAAGAAATGACAATGAGATATTTTTTAATTCAAATTTTGCTTTGAGTGTTTATTTTCGGTCTAGATTTGGACATAACAGTCAATTTTAGAAGAAAAAGTCAAAAAAATTGATAAAAAGCTGGCTTTCAGAACAGTTTTCACAACTTCTCTGCCTATGATGCACATACTACTTTGCATGGAGTTAAATGGATGATCTCAGGCCGTTAATGTTTGAATAATAGTCAATGAATAAGTGTCATGGCATTTGAATCGCTTAAGATCCTATTAAGCAATGTTTCAAGTAAATGTGGCTGAGTTTGGAGGCTATGAGCTAATGAGCGTTAGTTGAAACTGCACCTGAAACAAGAAGCTAAATTTGTTCATAAAAACCCATTGTATGTTACGGTTTTCAGAATTATTCTCGGATCTGAGCATGTTGGATATCCATTCTTGAAGTTGAAAACCCATTGCTACGATTTCACTCAATTTAAACGCAATGTTTTGTATGTGTGCTAATTTTTGTAGGTATACAATGACCCATTAATGTTTAACGCTTTATACACCCCAACGAATTCTACCAATTTGGCCACATTCATCTCAGGCTGATAATTACTGGAGCTCCGATATTCGAAAAACTGATAATAAACTCTATTGCAAAATTATTATTTAGTCAATCGCAATAATAGTAAATAGAGTTAATCCTTATTGATCGCCCAATATTTGAAATGTATTTAATTTAACAGTGCTTTTTAAATGTATTGCGATTTTTATAAATTATACTAAAGCAATATATTTTCCTATTAAAGTCCGACATTTATCACGGAGTTTAGTCATTTTTTCACGGTCATTATAAGAAGTGAAAAATGATTCACCCAAAAGTACCCAATTATATTTTTCATTCTTTACATGAGAAATTGGTTGTTTTAAATGTAAGCCTGTTAAATTGCCATGTTTCCTCCTCTTATTTTCCTGAGTCGTGCTCGCGAGTGTAGGAAGTTCGAATGAATAATTGTTTTAAAAAATTATGATAAAAGCAGCCCCAAATATTATTCCGGTATAACAGTGCCATTAAAATTTGCTTCGATATTGCAAGAAGTGTAATGAAATACTAACACGAAAATAATAGTAAATGTGAAAAGCATACTTTTAAATTAAATTATGGCATTTGGTGTTCAATAACGCTACATCATTTTTTGAAGTACATTTAATGATTTTTTCATAGAAGAAATTAAATTTTATTTTTAAGGACATTTTATATAGGAAAAAGGTAATTTTAATGAATACTGGTCCCTATAAATATAAGTCGCGACTTGCATGAAAATGTGTGATTATCATGTATGGCTAATTGTTTAACAGGGTTTAACGTTAAATATATCTACGGGAGTTTTCGCCAAGACGTCTTCCAGAATTTTTTTTAAACTTCAGATTAAACATATTGAGACGATCACGTTGGAAAACATTGCATCAGCATAGGTAGTTTAGTTGCGCAGCCTCTAAAGTTACCCGATCAAAAACATATAGATTAATTTTTGCTGGGAACCGTAAAGTGTCGTGGTTTTCGATCACCCGGGGGTAAATCAAGATCCGATTCCAATAATTCCGGTGTTTGAAATCAATTGAATACTACTACAAAATTTGTACAAAGAAATTTAAATGAAATGCATTAAGACTAGAGAAAAAACATTTTCGCATATAAAGTTTTTAAAGCATCACAAGTCCGACATGTGTTTGTCTCATCTCTAGACGAGATTGTTTACCTATCACCCTGTATATTATTCAGAAATTCATTTTTTTTTTAAATGTAGGTTTGATGGTTTCAGGAATACATCAAAATCGGCATAATCAAAACTTCAAAATTTGCAAACAACTGAATTGAATATTTCAAACAATATTTGAAAAGTTGTAATTGAATATATACGTTAACACTTTAGTTAAACATCTTCTGCAGTTTTTTAAAATATATATGTACCGTATAACAAAATAGAAGATATCGCTAAGTATCACAAATGAACCAATCTACTAAATATAAATAACCTTTACAAAAGTTGCCGTTCTACAGAATGTAAATTATCGCCAACCATTTTTAAAAGTCTAAAATTTTAATGGGTGTGAATTATAATGACAATTACAAAACAAAATTACTAAACTAATACTTAATGTAAATTAATTCATAAATGTATGTAGATTGATTTGAAGTAATTTCTGAATATAAATACAAATGACCCATTATCTGAAACAGTTGCAGTGCTTGCCTAACATTGAATAGAGTTTCACCGGAGGAATTAATTAGCCGGCTAATGAATGTAATATTCCTGCATTGTATCCTTTGTACCTGCAGAAACTGCAGATTTGATGTGATTTCCTAGTAACAATTTAATGCTCCCGGTATTTTATTATTCGTTAAGTTTTCTCCGAAACTGCACGTCATTAGTTAATTGGGCAAAGCAGTCGTTATGTTTGCAAAAAACCAATTTTCATAAATGTAACCCGATCCGACATCTATATTTTTTTCAGTATCTAAAGAGTAAGATTAACTAATTAGAAAGTTTCGTTCACAGTTCAAAATGCCACCTAAGTATAAAATTAGAATATATTTCGACATTAAAATAATTTTAAAAATTGAAGCAAAATTTCTTAAATGAGGTATTTAGTTGACAATGTTTTGTGAAAATTCTCAATCGTGGTTTTGCATAATTTAAATAGACACGAACAAAGTTTAATGGTCCGAAATACTGGAAAACATCAATTATGTACACTGATCATAAAGTAAGAAAAAATGCTTATTATAGATGAAATGAATAAGCAACATAATTAAATAACAAGAAAATCGTGAGATTAATTTTTAATTTCAACACTGGCCGTCAGTTACAAAACAGTTTGCTTGAGCTAAAAGGTGCCCGTTTTCTACAAGATCTCTCGATTCAATTAAAAGCTGCCGCCAGATCCAAGATTGGTCGTCAGACGTTAGATTGAAGCAGATTTGCTTCAGTTAAAAGCTGAGAGATAAAAATCGCTCGCTTCAGCTAAAAAATACCCATTTGCTGGAAGATCGTCTACAGCTAAACGCGAGTTATTTTCGGTATTGATCTTTTGGCGGTGATAGTAAAAAGACAAAATAATTCTCGCTATCTATTTATCAGTCAATTTTATGAGCTTCTTCTTGTCTATTAACCAAATTCTTAAAACTATCTTTTCTTGAGTAAGCTCCGAGTATAGTATGTACAATGGATTGAAAGTATTGCCATTAATCTTTACTGGAAATCAGGGAAATATTCGAAATCTTCCCAATCATAAAAACGACTAATCCACGTCCCTTTTAATATTACATACTTTTATTTTATCGTAATGGAACTGCAGGCATGCAAAACTGTTTCATTCGAATTTTATTCAAATATACATTCGAAACCGTTTTTAAAGCGGTTTTTTTGTGTTCCATGACGTTCTTTTCCAAAGCTCAAAAAATATAATCACGCAGATATATTTCGCAATTTTCCCAGGAAATTAAAACCAACTTTGAAACATTCAACAGACCACCAACTAGTATCAAATATATTTTTTTAATTAAAAAATTTGAACTACATCAATGCAATCCGAGCTTCAATCTGAATTCGAATATTTGATAATTTTGCAACATTTTTTTAAATATGAGTAGCAAAGTATACCGAATATAGGGGATATTGAGGTTGTTAGAGGGAGCTCTAATCATTTTTTTCTCAGATTAAGTACACAAGTATTTTAAAAAGTCTAGGCGTCATTCATAAAATAGTTCCCTGCATTTCTATTTGTCATTGATTTATAAACAATAAATTACTATTTTCAAATCGGTTAATTGCCTACATGGGGTATTAGTCATAAACATTTTTCTATTTAGAAGCCACATAATCTTGATTTATTTGAAAAATACACTGAAAAGTATAAAACGAAATAGTGTCAGTTTACCATGAAAGAAATAAATACCTAGTATAACAACAATTGCGATTTCYTTCGTTCCTGTTTAAAATTACGTCGGTTTGTCTAGTTTCGGTTGTTAAAATAGTTCTTGTTACCATTCTTGACAAACACTTTCCAAATGTCTCTGCAATTATCATAAAACCATATCTAATTACTGCCTGGAGGYGTGCATTATATGCAGCTTTTTGCGGTTGCCAATTTGTATGATTTAGATTACTCGAAGACAGTKTAAAGCAAAGGTGCATAAGTAACAAAAGTWGTATTGATAGTTAATTAATTTATTGACTGCAYTGTCTTTTAAAACCGGCATTATTTTCTGCACTTATTTCTATTTATTCTGGTACATTTATTGCTGATTTCCGTATTCTAAAGAGGAGCAGGCTGATTTTTGAAATCTAAAGTACTTAATTTAATCTGTTTTATCTGGGCTGCCAAACCAGTTACTGATATTTGATTTAACAATTAAAATTTTTGCTTCTGCTTTGACCATATCTGAGTCTGAATTTGACATTCCAAATATCGAATTCCGGTTGCGGATTTCCACTTAGTTAACTCGATGATATTAGTTGAACACGTGAAGATGTATAGTTAAAGGTACATAATGATATAATATCATGTCAGTAAATGGAATGAATTTGTTGAAAGCACATAATAATACACTCAAATATTTATCAGGTAAATCAATTAATTAAATGAAATTAAAATTTTTGATTGTGGAAAGCACGTATTGTTAATCAAAATGTACAATATAATATAGTCATAATTAAAAAGTCGTCTCATAGAGTTACTAGAACTAAATAAAGCTGGATTTTTATGATAATTTTTTAAAGCTGGCACAATCCAGAAACTTTACTCACTATTTTTGATATCGGTATTAAAATCCCCTGACAGCTCTCTTTTACTATAATTTAATAAATATTGACTAGGGATGATGAATCACCTCGAAAATTGTCGCAAAGTATTGGGTTTAGTTTTTTTCCTACAGCATTCTTTGACATGTTTGATAATAGTATGATGAATGGTCTGGATATATTCCTTCTAACGACGCAACTATGATAATGTACAGTTATCTCCTCCTTTATTCGCAAACAAATTGTCTCTTCTCCACGGGTTAGGAAACATTACGAAATGTATATTTCACCAAGATTTCTTGGATTGACTATTTTCCAACAACAAATGTCTATGTGGCCGGTTAATGCTTTCAACATGTGTTTTTTTGAATATTTATTTTCAAAAAACTTGGAAGTCTTACTTTTCCAAAGCTTTTATCATACGTTGAATTATTGACTGTGCGCAACTGTACTTTGAAAAAACAAGATATTGACTGAGAAAAGCTCAACTAAATTGGAAGCTATAATTGAAGTAAAATAAACTTAATCGTTTCGTTCACATTTATTTTAACCCTGTTTATTTGTTGATGCGAAAAAATTCTACTAATTGAAAAACAACAAAAACATAGGTTAAAAACAACCGAGTTATTATTTTTCCCTTTTTTGTTTTTTATCTAAGAGCGAAATGCAATTTACTCATTTACTTATTTTTTTCCAGGTGGGTATAGATGAGTGCTTATACGAAAACCAGATGTGCGAAGGATCTTGCACAAACACGTTGGATATAAGTGCCTTGCCGTACATGGTAAGTGTTGGATCTATTAATAATTCTTTTAAGTAATGGCCTGTCAACCGCAGACAGGTTACGAGACGCTTCATCTATATCTCAAGGATTCCTTGATAATAGTAACCGTTTAATATATTGAGCTTGTGACAGTTGTGATGTATTAGAGATTAGCTGAATAGAGATTTTGAATGACATTGGGGACAAATTAACCGGAAACTCGTTATTGGAAAATTGCTTCAAAATGATTAAAAGTTTTCAGTTAGAAGACTTCAATGTTGGTTCAAACTCAAATAACTTAATTATGACAACAAAAAGCAACTATTTACTTTTTATTGAAGTTTAAGGAAGCAACTCAAATTTTGTTAACCAGAATCATATTTGCGACATTTAAATGTGTGTGCATGTCCATTGCAAAACTTCCTATCATATGTCTCAAGATTCATTAATACTTGTTTAGTGTTTTTCTATTGCCTTCAAGGGAATTTTATGTAGGTTCTCGGGATAATTTTACAGTTTTCGAAATTATTTTATTGCTTTTTCTGCTGTTCACAAACATAATTTAATATTATTTTACTTGTATGGCATTAATTTCTGATACATTCAAAACGTTTTACATTTTTTGACAACACTAATATTGATGCTTAAACTATCTTCTGCATAGAAATAATGTTTCTGTAATAAATTTTATATTTATATGTAACCTTTTTGTGTGCTGTTTTGTTTTTCAGCTGAATATTTTTGTAGTCAATTATTAAGTCAGTTTGTCAGATATTTATTGTGAATCAGTTTGAAAGTTCTTTACGGATTATCCAACGGCTCAACAGCAGGCGAATAACAGGAAAGTCGATCTCGTTCTCTCGAAAAAATTATTAGATTTTTTTGTAATATGTTCCCATTAACTTGTTCGTCCGGGGGATTTGTTACTAAAGCACGAATTATGCTTTCAGGTGGGTTTATGCAGAGCCATTCAGTTAAGTATCCTTCAGTAAATAGTGGTTCAATTAACGCGTTTCCGAGAATACCAGC